GAGAACGATAAGTCAGCTGGATTGTGAAAGGTAAAGGTACGTTCCTGCTTCGTAATGTGTCTTCTGATGGTAACCACGTACTCAAATAATGAAGCTGGAGATCAAAGTGAAATTATAGATCGTTCCGATATATGAACACGAAACTTCAAGATGGCATGGAAAACCATTTATTGGTTCATTTTTGTTTACTGGAGACATAACTGTAGTCGTTGTTGCAAATGGTTGATGGAATTCTACGTGAATAAGCTAATACTCGATCAGATTCTGGCGGATTTAATACAGTAGAACCTCGATAACTCGAACTCCGATAACTCGAATTCCCCGCTAAGTCGAACTAAATTTGCTTTCTGTTGATCAAGATTTCATTGAAATTTACCCCTATAACTCGAATTCCCCACTTAAAATCGAACTATTTTTCGTTTCCCTTTAGAGTTCGAGTCACCGCCGGGGTTCTACTGTAGTCATGAACAAGTATGTTTAAACGCCATGTACTACAAGTATTTTAGTTTCCAGTTCATTATTTTGTTCTCAGTTTGAGACCTGAATTAAAAGAGCGGCTTAATAAGGGCTTAGCAGATAAGCTTGCTGGAAGTAAGTTGGCCTGACTTTTTCTTTTTTTACATATATGTTCCCGCTGTAAAATTAATTCAATCAAGACTCTTTTGCTGTATTATTCCAGTTACAAATGTGTCCCACAATTTTTCAATAATGACTCAAGAACAATTTATATCTCAGGACTTTAATTGTTTTATTCAATTTTTTAAAAAACAAAACATGTACCATGTGATGTGATTTTGAACATTATTATCATAAACTTGTTTAAATGCAATTTCCATGCTTTCTCCTGTTGGTAATTAATCATTAAATTTGCGTATACTTTACTTACTGGGCAATTCCAATGGTCCATTGGTACCAATGGTACGATTGGTACCAATGGAAAAGCACCCTATACCAATGGTTCTATTGGTGAATATGCATCTCATCAAGGGGACTTAGATTATTTTTTCATGTGGTCTAGCTGGGTACAGGGCAAAAGCGAACCACTGGTACCAATGGACCATTGGAATTGCCCTGTACCCAGCCAGACCACATGAGAAAATAATCTAAGTCTCCTTAATGAGATGCATATTCACCAATAGAACCATTGGAATAGGATGCTTTTCCATTGGTACCAATCGTACCACTGGTGCCAATGGACCATCAGTTTGACGAATCGTATCAGTTTGTGTATATTGGACATGTGTGAACAATTTGTTTGGGTATACAGCTATTTCGAGAAAGGTTGTCGGAAAAAGTGCACGCGACAATCCCGAAAGGTATTGTGGGTGGCTTTGAGGGTACTTTTCTTCAAAGAAATTTGAAAGAACGATACGGGAGGCCACGGACATATGTTTGCGAGTATTAAAGGAAAGCAACAAAAGTAGGTTCGACAGCTTCAGTCGTTACGAACACTGTATTGATCATATCCCATATTACCTTTCGGGATTGTCGCGTGCGCATTTCTTCCGACAACCTTTCTCGAAACAGCTGTATGTACGTAAGTGAAAATTACGCGATAGAGGAAGCCCATCCTTATAGGATAGAAAAGCTGTAGGCGGCGTGCTGGAGTAACAACGTCTTTTTAAAAGACTCTCCTTACTAAAGCTTATTAAGGGTGGATTTCCATTGTCGCGTATGTGCGTAAAATTTACGTTCGCAAATAAAATAGAGGCAATGTTTGAAAGGTCGCACGTAAACGTAAAATTTGAACCTCGCTCAACTTTGAAAAAAAAAGGCTCAACAGTTTATATCTTGCCTCTATTTTATTTACGAGATTAAAATTTACGTGCTTGTACACGCACGTAAAGACTACGCGACAGTTGAAATCTACCCTAAGAGGCATCAAAACCAGAATGTAATACCGAACCAAAATGTCAGCAAAACAAGGCGAGTAAGGTACAGTGAGTTCATCAGTTTTTTCATTGTTTGCTTCTAGGTGACCTGTATAGAGAGGTTATTTTGGCCTTTGGGACGCACTTTAGAGGTTTTTGTTGAGAGGTTCAATACAAATCAGGGGTTTCAATAAAGATTGAAGTAGCCAGCAGGCTTGAATAGAGTAACAGACTGTATCAACAAGGGGCCGTTAGTCCCCTTTTTCCAGGCGGTAGGTGGTCTGAGCGCGTTCTGTCCCAGACAATTTTGCAACTTCAAAGCCCTAAAATGCGATTTTCAGCGTTCTGGGCCCAGTTGCTCGAAGCATGGTTAGCGTTAACCAGCGTTTAATACCTTGACAACGTATTGGTTTTGATACTGCTTAACCAATGGTTAAAGCTAACCATGCTTTGAGCAACTCAGCCCTGGGGACTAAATTTGATGAAAAAAGAGCGTGTTTTTCATTCAAGAAAATGTAGCATTCAATTTTATCAGTCACACATTCAATCAGCTCTTGAAAGCAATGAACAAATGATGAAAACTAAATTACGTACTTTTGCACGTAAACAAATTCTGCGTGAACCTATTAAGAAACTTGTGGAAAAATGACTGAAATATAGCGTTTACATGACTAAAGTATAACGTAAAACCAGTGTGCCTTTGTGAAAACACAACTAGTTATTCAAACTAGCTGCTTCGTCTTTCTAGAAAAAGGTAGCCGACCTCTCTGAGCAAAGTAGCCGACGCTTTTCGTCGGCCGTCGGTGCTTTTTGAAACCCCTGAAAGTAAACATATTGTCTGTCCGCTAGGACAGAGATCATATTCATCAGTAGAGTTTCGACTTTAGAAGCAGATAGGACAGTAAATAAATAATAACCACGTTGTTCTTGTCTACTTCAGTTTTTTTGGAGGGGGGAGGGTAGGGGTGGAGGTGGGTGCTTATTAACTTTTCCTCCCTACAGGATAGGATGGGTTCTTATTCGAGATGGGCTACATTGTAATTCGAGGCTGGGGGCTTAGTTCAATAAATACGATATGTGTTAGACTTTACAGTCCTTTATCTCCTGAATTTGCTAAGGAACAGTCAAATGGAGACGCGAACTTAACCCCCACCCCTCCCCCTTAATCTGCATAATTCTTCAGATCATACTCAGCTTCATCTAATAAATGTTAAATAGCTAAATAGAAATTAATCAAAGAAAGACTATCGTCAACTCGTGGGTACGTTGTTTAGAAAATAATCAAGTAGTTATCACCTCTGGTTTTCCCACAGTGAATTTTAGGAAATGATAGAAATTCAGATTATAAATATACTATCCTTGTTCTGGAAACACAATACTTTTCTTGCTGTTTATTGCACTTTAGTAACAGTTATTTAAGTATATATTTAAAAACAAAAAAACACAAAAAAACAGCAAAACAAATAGGCAAATAAGACAAAATAAAAAAGAAAAAAAAAAGGGAAGAAAGGAAAAAGAAGGTCCTCAGCAGAATTTGAACCCGGTACCTTCGGGCTGACACGACCTGACATAGCCACTACGCCATTGAGGATGGTCACGTGATTTGGCGAAAAGTCTCAGGTTTAATGCCTTTTCAATGGAACTTCCGCCGGCAAACGACCGATCGAGCCATACTTAACCGATTGAAAAAACGACTCGAAGCAATCGGATGAAATTAAGGCTAATTGAAACCAGGCTACTGACAGTAAAAAACAATGTAAACGCATTTCATTGCAATGAAAGAACATAAGCGATACAAAGCCGACACAAATCCTCCGCGAAGTAGGATGCAAAACATTAGCTTATGTTTTCTTATCTCGATTTCCGCTGTTATTTTAAAGGTAATGCTCAAACTCACATCCATTCCCCCCCGTGATCTTGGGGAGTCCTTAAGAAGAAGAAGAAAAAGAAGTGCCTTTATTTACTATACATTTCACCAGTCCGTATTTTATACCCAGTCCGCAGTCCGTAGTCCGCAGTCCGTGTTTTATACTGACCGCCATAAATTCATTCATACACATAACCTACTACACTACTACAAGGTAGGAGATCAAGCCAGCGTCGAAGTTGAAGGAGTCGAAGAGAAATGCTCATCTTCTCGTCAAGTTTAACGCCTGGACGGATCAAAGGCTTTTGAATCGTACTAATTTGAAAGATTCCTGCGTGTCTTAAATTTGGTAAGACCTCTATCCTAACCGTGCTGTAGCGCACGGTGCACGCTTTCAGCGAGGAATTTGATGCTACCGAACTTCGGCGAGCGCGTGCTTCTTTGGAAACGATAGATCTTCGCGCTCTCGAGTTCGGACCCGATTAATTACGAAGTGCATCTACTACGAGTGAGCGAGTGACTCATTTGCATATCTCAGTCCCTGCAATAACTCGTGGTACGCTCGCGCGTACCCACGAGTTAAAAATGACACTAAGTGCTGGGTATAACTGGTAGTAGTATAATAGGATGCTCTAAGGCAAATAACAAGAAATAACCTGTATATTGTTCATAGGTTGATGTTTATAGCTTTGGTGTGCTTCTTTGTGAAATGTGCATCCGGCAAGTTCCAGATCCGAGAAGACGTGAACAGCAAGTTCTACTGATGACGAATCGCACCTTAAGAGGCCTGGTACGACGATGCCTGAAGACAGATCCTGAAGCGAGACCAACCATGCAGGATATAATCGATGAACTATCCAGAGCTGTGTAACGTCTATCAAATATTTTGTGAAAATTTTCGCAGTTGATAGAATTGAATTGCTAAAATGTCTATTGCAGGAAGTCGTGTCCAATTGTTTATCATGACAAAGTAGTGTACAAAAGTATTATTAGGAAAGCAATTACTTAGGTTGAAAACAAACCACTTATTGGAAGTAGCGAGGACTTTTCCGTACAATTTTAGTAACGATACCCAGAAGTAATACAGCAGTGTGTATTTTTTTGTATTTCCCATCGTGGTTAATAGCAAATGCCGTTTTTGGAGTAACGTTGTTAAAAACAAGGTAAATTATAGGTCTGGGAGAAAACCACTGAGACGCTAGTGTATGTCCTAGGCTTGCTTATACGATGGTTAAATTGGAAAAATAAAAAATAAGTAGCTCTATTTTTCCATATGCGATAGATTACGTTACTTTACAGGGGCGTAGCCAGGGTTTTTCATAGGAGGCGGTCGGGGGGGAACTGGCGGGGGGGGGGAGGTTACGCTGTGTCACACCCAGGGTACTTACCAGATTGGTATGTCCACATCCAGGCCGTGTTTTACTACAAGTGACATTGTTTTGGATGAGCAGTGAGATAGCTGCATGGATTAATTCCGCTCCACGTAGCATTATATACTCTATTTTACTTGCGAACAAGGAACAAGAACATGGTCCACTGCAGATGTTCGGTCCCGCAAATGGGTAAGCAACAATCTAGCACTGGAAAATATTGATTGCATTTTGTTTCTCCGGATTCGCAGGTTTTGGCCACCTGAATTGTAGGGACATACAAAGGGGGGATCACGGGCACCCTAGGAGCATCCCTAGCTACGCCCCTGTTTACATTCATTGTATTATTTCTTCTGAAGAAGTTCATACACACGAGGTAGACAACATATTTTTTTAAAAAATACTGTTGGTAGATATGGCAGTTATTAAAGGTTGTAGAATATACAATTAAATACGCGTTGTAGTTACTAATTAGCAGTTATGTTACTGGAGTAGACATGAGTTCCCTATGCCGATAATAGGTAACTTATTCATGAAGCAAGGTTTACTTCAATTTCTATTTACTTATATACTTATTATGATGTAGGTTGTAGACGTAAAATTGACGAAAGGTACCGGCAGATATGTCGCCTACATAAAAATTCAATTTAGGCTATATATACCGTTGAATCCGTCGAGTAGTAAAGCCCATTAGGTATCCTATGAAATAGAATTTACCTAAATTTATGCAGTTGTAGTTATGTGCTTATGAAGTAGACAATGTTGAAGTAGACAATATCGAGTAAAGAAACAATTGTATCAGTTTTTGGCTTATGAAACGTTTTACGCCGATTAAATCTGCGGAGTAGCTAGCACATTAAGCGATTCTAATATTAGAGTTTCCTATACCATAGGTAACTTACTTGTGAAAAGGAATATACCTTAATTCATAAGTTACTTATGAGGTGGATCAGGCAAATGAAATAGACAATGTTAAAAAGATACAAGATTAAACCTGCGTAACAGTAAGCGATGGTACATGTAATTAGAGTTATTTACAAAATCGATTGCACATCAATTTAGATTTGCTTATAAATTTAATCATCCGCTTAAAATAGACAATATTAATGAAAGAAAAGAGTAGATGTTTCGCTTATATATGGTATACCATAAGAGTTTCTTAATTCAACAGATAACTCGACTTATAAAATAGGATTTTACCCAAATTCGTGTTATTAATTTACTTATAAAGTAGGTCATGTACTTCAAATAGACAAAATTACAAGGAAACGAGTAGTTATATGGCAGAGGCCTCTCTTCTTTCTTTGCCCTTCCCATCGTGCCCCGCGCGCTCTCTTTTTCTTTCTCTCCAGTTCCCCTGCAACACAAGGACGCCTCTGTGGTGGAGACAGTCGCTGTGTTAAAAAGCGTTCCTAGGGTTCAAACCATTTTACAATGCGACTGACGGCTAACAATTTGATGATATATTTTGAAGCCCGTAAAGACCTCTTGGTTGAACATTAGCCTTTTCTCGAAAATGAACAATCCTCTTTATTCATTCAGGAAGTCCCAAGTAAGATGAGCTGCCGTATCATCACGTGTCTTGTCTTAATTGTGTTCACCTTACCCTAGGCTGAAGGTCAGTTTCCTAGAGTTTGTACATTCCTGATGAATCTGAAAAACAAGAAATGTTGTCCAATCCCAAAAGGATTTAGTGCACCATGCGGTAGCGGTGGAAACAGAGGTACATGACAGGAAATGATCATTCGTGATTGGATGTTCAAGTTCCGTCATAACCAACCTTTCCAGAAAGACGACGCGCGCCATAACTGACCTCCTGCACTTTACCACAAAACGTGCAAATGCAATTAAAACTTTGCTGGATATGACTGCAACAAGTGTGAGTTTGGCTACTATGACAATGACTAAACGCAGAAAAAAAAAACCCTGACTCGCAAAAATTTTCTCAAGTTGTCAGCCGAGGAGAAGGATCAATACATCAGGTACATCAACATGTCCAGGCACTATATAAGCGATTATGTGGTGACTTTGACACCATACAGTGAAGAGGTCAGCAAAACCGTTAAGTCCAACCGCGACCCGACAGCACTCTTTCACAACGTCAGCAACTATGACTTGTTCGTGTGAATGCACTACTATGCTGCACGAGACACCAACATAACATGACAAGGGCGCATATTGAGTTTGCGAATGACGGGCAGGGGTTTCCTACGTGGCATCGACTGTACATGTTGGCTTGGGGAAAAAAACCTTACACGAAATAAGTAACGATGAAAAACTTTGCTCTTCCTTGTTGGGACTGGACCGGAAGTAAAACACAATGTGATCCCGCTATTTGTTCAGAGGAGCTTCTTGGTGTAACAAACCAAGTTGATGGAACTGTGAAGGGCAAATACTTTGACAACTGGTACGTCATTTGCAGCAATGAACAATTCCTACTTCCTGACGAAGATGTACTGTGTGACCCAACGAACAAAAAACCTGGCTCAATTTAAAACGGATCAATTAGAAGGAAAACTAACGGAAAAAAAAGTAAGAAAACAGGGATATACAATGACATTTCCAACCAAAGAAGATAAAATTTTGCTCTCCGGTTTAAGATTTTTGACCGGCCACCCTATGGCAAAGAGTCAAGCTGCAATTTTAAAAACATCCTGGAAGGCTACGCCAGTACAAAGACCGGTTATCGTTTGCCAAATGTCCACACCTTACATAACCAGGTTCACATAGTCGTGGGTGGAGCCATGGGGGATGTATCTTCTGCGTCAAACGACCCGGTCTTTCCTCTTCATCATTCCTTTGTGGATCGTATCCGTCTGAGAAATGGCTTCGCAAGTTCAACAAGAGCGCTTCGTTTCTTGGAACATACGATGCACCCATCGGACACAACAAAGATGACGCCATTGTAACACTTTATCCTGTGTATACTCATCAACAGATGTTTAAGAAGTCTTTCGCGTTCGGTTATGACTACGACGATGTCGACGAGAATGGTAAGTATACATGAAGTTTCTACATGACCTTGATTTACTTTTTCCTTTACCTTGAATGCGATTTAGTGTCATTGTAATGTATCCCTTTGAGGGAATAAAATTTTGTCTCTCGAACCCCACTGTACAGACACCCACCGTTAATTACGGACAGTTTTCTTTTTTCAGGGGAAAGCCCTTTCTTTCCGTTCAATCACCTGCATTTGTTAGTAAAGCTGCATGTTCAATGTTGCATTCTTCCTCCTAATATACAAATATATCAATACATGATATATGAATTTTTATCTGGTGATTGGGAAAGACAGGAGTGTCCGTTGTCATCTGAGTATGCTCTTTTGCTTTAACCAGACTTTACTTTTCCTACGATCATCATCATCAATATCGTGATCGTGATCATTACTTATTTTCTTTATTTGTGACCCTCCACAGGAATTTGATGCTAAACGTGAAAGCACGCTCACAACACGCTTACACGACACGCTTAGCGTGCCGTAGATCACGGATATGCACATATTAAATTGAAAAAACAAAGACGGACACACTCGCCTTTGTTTTGGTAAATTTAACACGCTAGACCTTTTGTTTTTTTGTAGCGTGCCATATGTCACGGTAAGTGTGCGAATTATAGCACGCTTAGCGTGCAATTTGGGTAAGACACGCTGAACACGCTTGATTACCAAAACTGCTTAGATGAGAAAATGGATTGGGTTTTCAGCGGATTTAATCAGCATTGATAACTGGCCGAAGTGAATCAAATATACCAATTGAGACTGTTTTGGAATTTGATCGTAGCCGTAACCATTTGAACATCACCACTTAACGGCCGTGTAGCAGACTACTTAAGACACTTAAATGATTGTAGGCCGTAATATAATACTTCTGATGACGCTAAATCGGTCGCCGTAACTTCATGGCGCGAATGTTTGTTTAGATGGTTGTAGAACAGACGGCAGCCACAAGAAAGACAATAATATACCTTTAAACAGATTGAAAATTTTAAGTTTTTTCCTAATGTGTGTATAATTCGTTATCTCGCGCTTATTCAGGATAACATTAGATTTAAATAGACCTCTCCAGTTTAGGCTGCGTAGCTGCAGGAGCCCATTGCCTCCAAGCGCCCGCTGCACAGACTATTTTTAGCTTGCATGTGACCACGTGGTGTTCTCCCGGGAATTTTGCATTTTGTCCTTTGATAAATTATGCATACATATGCACGTGGATGCTTGCGCATAAGGCGAAAATTTCAAAGGGACAGTTCTCTAAAGAACCACCACGTGGTCTGAAATGGGAAAACACAACAAATCATGTGATTTGTAACTGCATCGATCAGTGCCAATCGTATCATGAATCTTGTCCCACTGAAATATAACTTCAAATCATAAGTGTTTCCCTTGTACATGTAACTGAACTGATCAGTGATCGAGATCCATCGAAACATGCCTTGCTCTCTAAAATCAGTAGTTGTTTGTTTGTTACGGATTGTTATTCCAAATCTTTAACAATTATTGCCCCTGCAGGGATTTCGCCCAAAAGGCTGAGTTTAAACTCTTCTAATTTTCAGTACCTAAAAAAATACCGTGGCCTTTTTTCTTTTTCTGAGGGGCAAATACAGGTCGTCTATTAGAATATTATCCGAACAATGAATTTTTGTTAAATGGATAAGCTTGAACTTACTTTTGGCACGTTTGTTTGTTAGTGTTTTGATATCTTTTAACCTATATGGAGTACATGAAGAATGTATAAGTTCTTATAACTCTGAGCGTGATGGCAAAGTGTTCAAGTCAATGATATCTCTAGAATAAATATGCCTTTAGTATTAGAAGAAAAAAGAGATCGCTAGAACGGTACAAAGAAAAATGATAATTAGTAGATTTAGTGACAAACGTCGTCGAATTCGCCTTTTTGTTCCTTGTAAACTACTGGTTACGTAGTTTCCTTTACATACACCGTAAATCCTCTATTAACCCCTCCCTCCCCCACCGTGTGGTTATTTACTTCAAACACCTTTGAGGTGAAGCTTAATAGAGACAAGGGCTTATTGAGGGGGAGAGGTGGGGCTCTTTTGATTTTAATTAGCGAAGATGATGGTATCAGTTCTCTCGTTATAAAATAAATACCAGAATGCAAAGTGGATAAGCTCAAGTGCAAGAAATTGGAGGTCATTAAGGGACTGTGCAATAATTGTCAGGAGGAGGGCTGAGAAATGAGTTTCAAAGGGGAAATTATTATGTCGTGCACCCCCCCCCCCCCCCTGCCCCCACACGCCCGCCCCCCACCCCGGCCATGGGGCCCGATAAAACGCACTAAAACCTCCGCACCCCCACGCGCCGCGACCTCACACACCCACGTACCTCTCCCCTCCTCCCCGCACTCCTACCCCCTTCTGATCTCTTGATAATTTTTGCTACCTCCCCTCCCCCCATACCCAATATAACGTAACTGTACAAGATGAAAAGCTTAAAAAGCGTCTTCGCCATTTGTCGTCCGACAACCCTGCTTGTGCTGAAAGGTTTCTCCGAGTACAAGCCAAAACCCCACGATGACAGCAACAATATATTATAGGGCATTCAAGAGGGAGGCGAATCGCATCTAGGATAAGCTTCATGCCATCACAGAAAACATAACTAAACATGATGAAAGCCCCTTTATAGAGGGTAAAATTCCAGACTTGGATATTAACCGGCGTTAATAGTTCGGCATAATAAAAAACTTAACCACTAACGTAATAACTTTGCGACCATTAATGTAACAAACGCAAAGAGAACAGCTGATTGGCTATTTAGAATTATTAGCATTTGTAAAAAATCATACGACCTCCTGCTTTGATGTCAGGCATCGCTGTTTGAACGAAATAAGTCGTTTAGGACTTTTTTTATACCCGAAGATTTGATTGCCAAAGGCGCAGTGGCTCAAAAATACTGCAAAACGTTAACTCTTGTGATGAAGTATTAACAACCAGTCTGAAAGTGACAATTTTGAGTGACCTTGTAAATAGGGGAAACTCCCTACAGTTCGCTACATAGCAGGGCTCTGCCAAAAAGGGGCACTAAACATTTTTTTTACACTGAAGTCGTATGCATGAGATGGATACCTTTTCTTCGAAAAAATGGTAGAGGAAGAAAGTAAGGGGTTTACTTTTTCAAAGAAATTGTGGTGTTGTGTCAGTTGGGGGGAATGATTTAAAAATTAAGGATTTTGAACTCAGGGCAAAACCTCCTCAGGGACCTCAAGCACAAGCATTAACGGTCTCTGATTCGCCAGTTTATCATGCATTTGCACGCCATCGGATTTACAACCCCGATACAAATACGACATAGCCTTCCTCAAGTAGTACACCATCCAAAGCAGTAAACATGTTAAACATGGATGCCTGCGAGAATAACTGCCACTGAGCAGCTTGGCCGAGCCTTAACTATGACTTCATGAAGCACATATGCAACAGTCGACGCGTTTTGTTACTTTCGACATAGCCTGCGTAGCATGGCGGTTTTGTCGAGCCAGGCGCAGGAGCGGCATAGCCGCAAAATTCGCGCGCGAAGCGCGCGAGAACGAGCGGCGAAGCCGCGAGAAAAATAAAAACCGCCTGCCCGGATTCGTGGCCTTTTCAACTGCCGCCCCCTTCAACTCATTTTGACATCCTGTTGACAACTTGTTTGGTTTCAGTTTTCCCAGCCAATCAGAAATAAAGTGTTGACAGTCAAACACGACACAAAAGCTCGTGATATAGTGTAAAACGTGACCTTGGCCGGAATTGGAGTTTGCTTGAACAAACACAAGTTTTTCTTTGTTGCTATCTCGCGCATAGGTGACTACACTGCGTTCTAATCTTGACTGAGTAGATCTTATTTTTGCTGCACTAAGTCTTACATTTATTTAGAGGTCATGAAGTTGGTTTGTTTAATCCGTATTGAGTAATTATTTCCTGTGGTTAATGTTAGTGTTGCTAATTAGAATTTGTTGATCTCAGACTGCAGTTGTAAAGTACTAATTTCTTTGACCACTCTTAAAGCCTAAAGCTTTTTATTACGGCTAAATAAATATTTTAGTTTCTTTGGTCTTTTCCGACCAAAATGCCTGGATCTGGACAACTACAAACCAAGGAGCCTTGGTTTGTAGTGTCTTTGTCCGTGAATGTTTTGACGCTGGACCCGGCTTTTTAAGTGTTGTTTGCAGGATTTTGTATTTTTACGTATAGCGCGATCTTCAGATTTGAGTTGTACCTTTAGCTACACCAAGCAAAAAAGTATGGAGAATTACGCTGTGCGTCTTTCTTCTACTGTATGCGATTTATCGACCACAGTCGCGGACACCGTTCGATGTATTGCGCTGGAGTGCGTTATTCTCTAACACCGAGTAATAGAGAAAATTGAGGTGAACTTTCTCGAAGCACTAAAATTTACTGTTTCTGTCATAAGGTCCATTGCTGTACAGCTCAGCGACAACATTTCAGATATCTGGTCGTCGATAGTACTTTTTAGAGGGGAAATTGTGATCATACAGGTTTTCGATGAGGATATTTCTTCTTTGGCCATAGCAAAGACAGTAAAGATCTATGCTCTTGCCAAATCTTGTTCACAAAATTTCCATGACATCTCTCCTTTGAAGAAGACTGTAAATGGCCATTTCCTGTTTAGGCTTCAATACAATTGCCCTGTTTTCCCGTCAAATATTCAAGATCGACGACGCTTCGGTCAATGCTTCTTTGATATTTTGATTTTGTTTTGCGGAGATGATTTGTTCAGTCCCTCGAAACTCT